AATCTGATTTCCTACTGATGGAAGTGTGTTAGCAGCTGCTGCTGAAGTTGACATTGCTGGCTCACCCCAGAAGCCGGCTGTGCACCCCGTTTCAGCTACATTGCCCAGCAGGACCCTGTGACAGCCACTGTCATCTCCTGTACATCTCCTATGCTCTTCCACTACACAAAAGGCAAAGACTACATACATTTGCAGTGAAGCTTGTTCAGGAAATTTCTGCCCTTAACACATTCTCACTATGCAGTTCTACCCAGGGACAGATTGATAATATTGCTAAGGCAGTCTGACAGGATGGTCCTGTTAGCCCTGCCTTGGCTGCAGGCTGTGGCCATTTCTCTAGTGCCTCCCCTGTATCACAGGTGATCATTTCATTTTGTCATTAGCAAGTTTAGAGAACTAACCTGTCAGGAAATAACTCTTTTTTTCTAAAGTCAAGCTTCTCTGCCCCCTAGTCCCCAAAGCAGGTCACCACAGGTCACTGCAAGGTCACCCAAGACACAGTGCAAGCAGAAATGAGGAAGGATTAATGGGATGGAAATTCGCACTTTTTGTCATTCATCAAGTTGCACTGGAAGTTCTGCTGTTACACACTATTTTAGGGGTCTCAAAGTGAACTCAGTCACCAAAATCACCTGGGTTTAAAACCAGAATTTTGGTTATCTAGTTTCTACCCTAGCCTGATGGTCTGCTAGCACAACAGGGGCACTGGGGAGCAGCCATGTAGAGCCAGGTGCAGAAACCCATTAACACATGAGGGGAACTGTACACTTGGTCACACAGCAAAGCCTTGGTAAGTGACTCACAGATTCAAGAAGATGTTGATTTCCACTTACCCAGGGTGAGACCTGAGCGTTGCACTAACAGATCTGTGGCTGTGGAATCAGTCCTCCCTTCAAATTAAACAGGTCTTTTCTAATTCAACCCAGAGCCAGCAAGAAATGAGGGAAAAAAAGAATTATAAAGCTTCAGTGCAGGGAATCTCTTTGTCATATATGACAGACTTGTCTCATATTCAAAGGTGAGAGTGCCAGGGTCAGGTAGGAGATTCAAAGTCCATGTGTCTGCTAGTGATTTTGTAGACCAAGCTGCAGCACAGCACTTTTTTTCTTTCAGTACTCAAAGCTACTCCAAGCATTGGCTAGGTGCTTGGGTTTGCTTTTTTTTTTCTGAGTCATATATATATTATTTTAAAAAAATAATTAAAAAAAAAAGGCAGCAAAAGGGAGGAAAAGAAAAACAGGTGTCATCTAAAAGTGGTGAAAGATTAAGAGAGAGGTAGATCCAAAGACAGCCAGACCCATGCACAGACTCCAGCTTATGGTAACTTTTTTCCAGAGGTGTCACTACAAGCAAACAACTCCAAATGGAGTTTATCCACCTCCAATTTCAACAATATAACATTTACCCACTTCTTACAGATACCAGACAGGTGAGTAATTTACCACTGCCCCACTGCACCTCTCTTCAGTCAACGGGTAGCCACTTACATGAGTAGAAATTGTCCAGCTCTTATTTCAGGAAAGTCTTTTTCATTTCCTTCACATAAAGTTCTAACACATTAACGACATGTAGCTTAGATGACATGAGAGGTGGAACTCTTCCAAAATACATTTCGGTTCCTGTCAGAAAGTATTGCGTGCCTTTGTGCAGGAAATTATAAAATAGAAAATAAACATGTAAATATACCATTTCAACACATCCTCTACATCAAAGCAGGCCTGATGGTTTTAATTTTGGCTTTTTGAGGTTTTGTTTTTATAAGTTGTTGAATTTATTTTGTAGCTCCTGTTTATGAAAAGAACTTTAAAAGAGTTATAAACTACATTTATCAAATGAAGGAAAACTACAACTATAAAGTTCTCAGAAAAAAGGAAATAATGCAAACCGTGTATGTGCACTTGTGCAGGGACACACACATACAAACATATATTTTTGAGCTGGTGACTGCTGAACCACAGACCACATGCAGAAGAGTAAAAACCACCCATAACCAGATGTGCCACTGTAAATCCCATGGTTTAGGATATATTCTGAAATCCTTAGTGCTCAGGAAGATGTAAATTCCCACACTATTTGTATCAGTGATATGGATTCCTAGAAAGACCGACTACCTTCACATTTCTAAAAATAATCCAAGCTCCAACTGGGAGATACAACCCTTTTGAAGTAAAGAGGGGGGCTACCAGAGTGTAAACATGTGAATTGAAAATCATCCAGCACAACACAGAAGTGAGAACAGCAACAACACATCACTTCAAACCTTCCGAGAACCAAAGGGCTGCAGAAGGAATTCCACCCTTTCCCACAGAATTAATACCTGAGCGTTGTACCTCAACTGAGCATATCAGTGCATGGCTTGTAGAGCCATCATTTGTTAAACTGTGAAAAAAGTGGCCTCAGATTATACCTGAATTTTCCTATGGCAGGAAAGTGTAGCATTAGGCAGGTGGAGAAAAATGCTTCAGTTCTTTCTCTATCCACAGCTGAATAGGAAACCCCAACTCAAAGGTTTCCTTCAAGCTATAAAAATAAAGCAAGGTTGTTTCCACAGAATGGAGAAAAAGTCATTTCCAAAGTCCCTATCCATCTACAAATACAATATATAAGACCAAATAGCTTTTTTACCTTGGAATATCTCTCACTGATCTAGTAGAGCAAAGTTTGTTGATATTCAGGGTTGCAAACCCATCTGTTTACTCAGGCTTTTGTCTGTCAGCATAGTTTGAAGAGGTCGCTTTGAAAGATCAATTTTTTTTCCTGGGGGTTTCTTCAGAGCTACCACAATTTGTTATTGTATCTGTTTAGAGGCTTTAATTTGTGGTTTTTAAGATTGCATAACAGCACAGAGAGGTGGTGAGAGGCCCACATGAATAGTTCAAAATAAGTCTGACAATATAGCAAACATCTACTAATAATTTTCCCAGGACTGAACACCATGGAATGTCAAAGAAGTTATTAATCAGGCTGGTGTATGAACATGGCTTTATGAGGTCTGGGGCATATACTTCCATTCAGATGCTAAAATGCAGAATTACCTTCACTTGCTGTTGACACCTAGTAAAGACAATGCACCGTGAGGGCTGCAAACAAGGCATCTGATTGGATTGCTCTAAACCAGCCTATTCGAAACTAGATAAAAAAAAATAAAATGAGATTTTATTTTTGCCTTTTATTCAGAGTTCTCATAATAAGTTACATAAAAATGAACCAAGCTGCCTAGACTCCCATGAGGAGGCTCAGCACTCATTTTTCCATTTCACAGATGTTAGACGAGAGGCACAGACATGCACGGTCACTTTTGGAGAAGCACAGGCTACACCTGGGGGAGTTAGAGGTCCTCAGGCTCTCTGGGAATCTGCAGCCAGAGACCTGACACTGGCCACAGGCAGAAATGGGGTGCTCAGGACCCACTGGCACATTGAATGCTTGGGTCGCATGTCCCAGAGTCAGTGTGGCAGGCCACCTGCCTGAGTGGCAGCAGCAGCAGCTCAGGGATGCATGAGCTGCATTTGCATAGCAGAGGGCAGTGTTCAGCACTTTTGACAACTAATATCCCTTTCTGAGGAAGCTGGTGAGGAGATGATGTGCATGCTGCAAGCAGGGAACTCTGCAACAATGGAGGGGCAAGGTTGTGAGCAGAGACACCAAACTAGATTCAAGTTCTGTACCTCCGGGACAGGTCTCCATCTAGTTCAGCAGGAAGGAATCTACAGGCCATAAATTCCTCCTGATAGGTGAAGACTGAAGGTGGCCAGTCGGTGCTCAGCCCTTCGTACTGCAAGCACTTTGCTACTGATGCACAACCCCCCCAACCCCAAACCACTGTGTGGGCAGTACACAGGTCTACCTGGCCGTGCCCATGAGGTGACGCTTGAGCCATCTGTTTAAGGACTTTGCCAGACCTACTCCCATGAGAAGCTTGTGTTTATACGTCGCTTGACAGGTGTAGAAGAGCAGTGCTGGCTCCTCTTGGGACGCCGTAAAGGAGCGCCCGCGCTGACCTGCTGCTCACCTGGACGCAGCGGGACCCCGGTGAGCAGGGGGACACCGCAGACGCAGCGCTCCCTTAAGTGTCCCCCGTCCGCCCTGCCCACCCACCGTGGCACGCCCGGCAGCGGCGGCCCCGCGGCGCCCGCGGTGACCGTCCTTCCCTCGTTCCCTGGGAGGCTGAAGGCAGCAGGTGGGGCCGGCCGGGCCGTTGAGGCGCGGACACCCCGGGCCGGGGCGCGAGCCCCGCTTCCCGCCGCCGCCGCGCGGCTTCTCGGCCAACAGCCCCCTCGCGGCCGCCGCCGCGCGCGCCCCTCCTCCGCGCGGGCAGCGCCCGCCGCCCGGCCCACCGGGAGCCCCCCGCGCCGGGGCCGCCCGGGACGGCCCGCCGTCGCGGCCGGCGGTGCCGGCTGGCCGGGGCGGCGCTGGGGCAGCGCCCACCCCCGGCGGCCGCCGCGGAGGGTCGGCGCGGGCGGCGGACGGACTGGAGCCCGGGTTGCCCCTGGCGGCGCGGCGCGTGTGGCGGCCGGGCTGTGCCCGGGGGATACCGGTGCCGGGGCGGGAGGGAGAAGGAGCGCGGGAGGGACGCGGCGCGGGAGGCCTCCCTGTCACTGCAGGCGCTGCCGGGACGGCCCCGGCCCCGCTTGCCACCCCGGCCCCGCGTCCGTGCAACAGCCCGCGGGGAGCTGGGCCGGGGGCGGTCTGTGCCTGTTGCATTGTCCTTGGCGGGGCTGTCTGTGAGCGCCTGCCGCTATCTGCGGCCGGGGACCCCGGCGGTGCCCTGCCTCGGACTCTCTGCCGTGCCTGATATCGCCTGCACCCTGCTCCGTTGCACGTCCCTCGCGGCTCCCGCCGGGGCTCTCTCCCCTTTTGTCTGTGTATTTTTAGGTCATTAGAGTGGAGGGGTAGGTAATCCCCAGGCTCAAGTTCCAGAGGGGCGGGTTCTGGCCGGAGGTGGAGTCACTTTTCATTTAAATCCCTGACTATAAAATGGGCTTAAAGAGAAGCGGGATCTCAGCTGTGCTGCACAGACCCCGGCACGCAGGGTGCGTGGGGGCCCCCCGGCAGCCAGCGCCCTGCAGCACAAGCCGCTGCGATGCTCCACTCCCTCGGCGTTCACACCTTGCAGCTGCTCACCCAGGCGGCCGCCTGCATCCTCCTCTTCCCCCGCTTCCTGCTCACCGCCGTGATGCTCTGGCTCCTGGATTTTCTGTGCATTAGGAAGAAGATGCTGACGATGCCCACGGCGGAGGAGGCGGCCAGCACCAGCGAGGGGCCGCCCCCCGACGACCCCCCGGTCTGCGTGTCCGACTCCAACCGCATGTTCACGCTGGAGTCGCTGAAAGCCGTGTGGCATGGGCAGAAGCTGGACTTCTTCAAGTCGGCGCACGTGGGTTCCCTGGCCCCCAACCCCGAGGTGATCCAGCTGGACGGGCAGAAGAGACTCCGGATCCTGGACTTCGCCCGCGGCAAGAGACCCCTCATCCTCAACTTCGGTAGCTGCACCTGACCCCCGTTCATGGCCCGCCTGAGGTCCTTCCAGCGCCTGGCCGCGCACTTCGTGGACATTGCCGACTTCCTGCTGGTGTACATCGAAGAAGCACACCCCTCCGACGGCTGGGTCAGCTCGGACGCAGCCTACAACATCCCCAAGCACCAGTGCCTCCAGGACAGGCTGCGGGCAGCTCAGCTGATGAGGGAAGGGGCGCCCGATTGCCCCTTGGCCGTGGACACCATGGACAATGCTTCCAGCGCCGCCTACGGTGCCTACTTCGAGAGGCTCTACATCATCCAGGAGGAGAAGGTGATGTACCAGGGAGGCAGAGGACCAGAGGGCTACAAGATCTCGGAGCTGAGGAGCTGGCTAGACCAGTACAAAACCCGGCTCCAGAGCCCCAGCACGGTGGTCATCCAAGTGTAAAAAGGACCTGGCAAGAAGCGCAGGGGTGGAGAGGCGAGGGAGGGCGGGAGGAGAGGTGGGGAGGGAGAAGGCACTGCGTCGCGGATGGCAGGAGCTGTCTTCCCGCGGGGACACTCGAAGGAGGCTGCTGTGCGAGCTTTCGAGCAAGATGTGCCATAGTCCTTTCTCTATTCAAATCATGTTGATTTGCCAGCCACGCTCTGTCAATACTGTATTTCCATGTGCGTTTTGTAAATAACTCTTTTTTTTCTTTTTTTTTTTTTTTTGAAGCGTTTACTATTTTTTAAGGAGGCTCTCTTCCTACGGGATCTGTTCCCAGCTGCGTGTGTGCGCGGGTGTGTGTCTGAAAAGTTGTGTACAAGTGCTCCATGCTGCCTAGCAAGTGCTAACTGGGATTTCTAGTATTTCTTTGTGATGACCGATTTTGAAATGGATTTCTCTAATGCCAGGAAATCGCGTCTGATGTTGTCAAATACTAGAACTGCCAATAGCCAGAGCTGGACGGAATGTCCTATTTATGTGGGGGGGTTTTGTAAGACGGTCGTTCACCTTCCTTTTTTTTATGAATTTTTTTAAATAATAAAAGTTGAGTAAATACACGTCTAACCTTGACTGCCTTTCCCTGTCTTCAGACCGCTGCGTTGACTTTCACTCTTGCCTATCTCACACCACCCTCCCCCCAGCCGAGGAGGGGCAGGCGAAGCTGCAGGATGCGCTGCTGGGGGCCCGGGGGCGGCGAGTCCTCCCTCGGCGGTGGCAGGAGCGCGCACCGCCCGCGACCCGGCTGATAGTGAGAGTGCTGGGTGTCCCCAAAGGGAAATGAAAACCTCCCGGGCTCCCGGGGGAGGAGACCGACCAGGAGGACCGCGCGCTGCCTCTGTGACCTCGGCAGCCGCCTCGGAGTGCGAAGTGGGGCTGACCGGCGTCGGTGCAGGCAAGTGAGTCCCGGCCAAAAGCATAGGCCAGGAAAGCCGTCCTGCGCTGCATAGCCGCCCGCCGGAGACGCCCCGTCTCGGCACGCAGGCAGTGCCCAGACCGGAGCCCGGCTCGGGGCACGCGCGAACCTCCGCATCTGCGCAGCGGGGCTGCGGGGCGAGGGCAGGAGGGCAGCCCCCAGCCCGGCCGTGCGAGGCTCAGCCCCCTCCCCGGGGGCCGGCAGCTACGCTCCAAAGGGTGAGGAGTGAAGGACTTTGCTCCCTCGGAGCCCGAAAGGTGAGACCGGGCGTGGAGAGCATCCCGAAGCCGCCGCAGGAGCTGTGCAAAGCCACCCAGAAACAGCGGGTCTTTAAGGACCTCCCATGGCGCCTCCGAACGCCTCCTTGTTCTTCACAGCAGCGGGACGAGGCGCCCGAGCTGTTAAGCCCCTAAGTTTTGGAGAGGGGTGCACGGCCCGGAGGCAGCGCAAGCCGGAGACGCTGCTCTCCGCAGCTGGGCACCGAGTCGCGCCCGCAGCGCTAAACTAAACCTGCGGAAAGCTGTTTGTTAGGGCGTAATAGTCCCTGTCTTGACCGTGACAACGTTCCTCTGGACCCTCAGTGTTCCTGTCGCTCAACATTCACGGTTTAGACTAGCGTGCGTAACCGATCCCGCCGCCTCCCATAAGACGAGCAGCACAGGCTGGTCCCTCACAGAGAAACCCAGACGCTCACGACCCCCGCTCCCCCCTGCCACCTTTGCCCCAAAGCCCCCGCCCTGGGTGGAGGGGGAGCGCAGCGCCCCGCGAATCGGGCGCTCTGTTTAGAGTGTCAAAGGATGGCGCTCAGGTGCCCCGCTTACGCTTCCGACCGCCTGGCCACCTGCGCCTGCTCTGACGGCCTCTAAATCTATTCGCCCCTTCACTTCCCGCTGCCGCCTCAAGGCGGAAACCCCGGCACTGGGGCTCGGGGCTGTACGAGTTCCGCCGACTCGTGCGTCTCCGGTTGATGCTGGGGCGGTGGGACGAGAGCCCACCTTGAGGTGGGCTTGCTTCCCCTGGCTGCGCGCTGGGCGCCAAGCACAGATCCCTCCGGAGCGGAGGGGAGCCTCGGCGGCAGCCCCAGCAGCGCAGGGTGCGGCAGGGCATCCCCCTGCTCCTCCCGGCGCGGGCAGCGCCCGCCCAGGTCGCGGCCAAAGGAGCCAGTGCCTGGAGGCCGCTGCCAGCACGAGCCTCGGTGCCTCCCCGCCTTGGTGCACGGGCTCACCAGCCTCGGCTTCCTCCAGGCACCCTACGCGGGACGAACGAGTGCTCTTCCCTGGGGCCAGACTCCCCAGCACCAACAAACCTGGCCCTGCCCCGCTGCGGGACAGCACAGCCCCCGCTCTGCCCCGCTGCCCACGGCTCCCAGCGCGGCCCTGGCCCTGCCCCCGCAGCGCCTTTCCCAGCCCCACGCACGTCGTGCCTCCAAAACCAAAGGCAGAGGAGCAGCGGGTCTCCTCTCGGCTACAAGGGCAGCCTCTGTGTACGCGATTACTCTTTTTCTTTTTTTTTTTTTTTCCTAGAGCTTAGTTTTCCTCACTTTACAATAAAGCCATTCTTTGCTTTCTCACCTCGTTATCTCTTTCCCTTATCCGCTTTTGGCACGCTTTAGTTGTAATCCGAAGTTACGGGCAAACCCCTGGCACGTCCCCACCCCAGCCCGACCCCCAGGACATTTTACGGTCATACGGACTTCTGTGATCACTGTCCTTACGTGGGCTTTAATAGTAACAGAAACAGCCTCGTCTTTACTCTGTACTACTAGCAGATTTTGGTCAAAGGCTATCTGAGGTCAGGATTTTTTTCCTTTTTTTTTCCTAAATAAGTCAGCTTTCTAAAGCTACATTCCTCCTTTAAACCGAACACAGAGCTCTTATTTATCACTTTCTCTTTAATCACCAACAGAAGAAAAAATTGCTATGAATTCCTGGAATCCCTGAAAGAGATCACACTTTTCCTTTGCACAAATCAAAGTTATCTGCTCCTATTATATCCTTCACTTAAAATGAACCATAAGCCTCCATCCCACTGAGCTTTCTCGGGGATACTTGTTTAGCACAGACGAGAACAATACGCTGTAGATCTAAAGAGCCCAGGGCGGCAGAAGCCTCTCTGGCTGATACAAAGGATTGAGAAACGTCCTATCTCTAAAACGCATTTTTAGTGCCTTTCCACCTCCCTAGTGCACGACAAACAGAAGTCAGAGAGCAGGAAGATATTTATCAGAGAAAGATCTGAGTGGTGATTACGTGTCTGTCAATAATTAATTGAATTATGTCCTCATCATAATTACATACAGTCCTCTAGCCAGGAGGAGAAAAAAAAGAAGGAAGTTGTGGTGTGGTCGAAGGGGGATCTCAGGACATGGTTCCAGTCATTAAAAATGTGATGTAACATTGCAATCTGGTGTATTCTGAGGCACAAATGGGGAAACACAAACGAAACCAACTACTAAAATATTATTTGCTTTACAGCAGGGAGACAGAAAAAGCACTTGCCTTCATTAGTTGTTTTCATTACTACTCTCTGCTAGGGATTTAAAGGTATTTTACAATGCAAAAAACAGAGCTATTACTCATTTGATCTATGAACTATATGCTTTAGGGTTTGTATTGTTCACCACATGATGTCTGACTACACTGGATGTTTCTGATGTTTGAAATAAAAATTTTAATTGGTGCAGAAATTAAAATTAGTCCAGCAAGGCACCCTATATTCAATACCAATGTAGAAATGACACAGTCAAAGAATCTTGCAAGCAAATTCTTACTCTGACACTAATTTTTCTGTACTTCTTCCAGTCATAAGGGAGATCATAATATCATTATTAATTTATTATTTACTAAGAGCTGTTAGAGTACTCTTTTGGTACACAAATGCAAGCAAACAAAGAGCTCAATTCAGTTCTAACACAAGTTTTGCTCTGGTGTAACTTCAATGACACGGGTGTAGTCACTTCAGAACCACCTGGGTGTAATTATGATAAAAATCTGGGCTATTGCACTTCCTCTGCTTTTCTAATGGTTCAAAACCTCTCTTTTCCTACAGCATGCTGTGGAAGACAGACATCTGTTTGAATACAGAGCCCAAAAATCACTCTCAAGTTCCTCCTCACTGGCAATGCCAGTGTCCTATATCCTGCCAGAATTCAGGCATGTCAGCACATTTCCTCACTGCTCTGCACTCTCCCTACAGCATGAGAGTTGTAAACTCCATCGATATGTGTTTCCTTCCACTTGTTAAGGCACATCCTCCTGGTGTCTTGAGCTTTAGATCAGGTAGCTTTTCATTCTAATTGCTTTTCAGCATCCAGCTGCCAAGAGAAATTTGACACCTGCTTCCTTCTTCGCAAATTTCTCTTTTCAAACAAATGTTTGATGATGCCTCTTGAAATGGGGTTCATTTATGACCTTCACTTAATTGGCTAATTCATGTATTTTTCTCATCTACTTGGCCTTCCACCTGCTTCTTCAGGGATTTTGGAAGTGGTTTAGAGTGGTAAATGCACTAACAATCAACAGCCAAAAAATCTTAACTAGAACAGCAAACAGTATTCAGTACTCCCTGTGTGAAAATGCAATACAGGACAAGGTTAAAATCCTTCAGCTAATATGTTTTGTGTAAGAACCCTTCTCAGGGTATAATGCTTACCCCCTCAAATGTAAGGATCACTCAGTCTGGTCCATGGACTTCCTGTGCCCATCAAACTTAGAAGATCAGGCCTGTCTGATTTTTCTTCTCTCTTTTGCAAGTTAGTAGATCCATCCTGGCTTTTCTTATTCCCTTCCAAGTAATAAATATCCTCCATCTTAAAAGGACATTTAGGACATGGCCATATGGGGCAAGGTAGCTCAACCTCCTGCATGTCACTCCCCCAGTGCCCAGAATTACCCCAACAGAGGCGATCCCGGAATCTCTGATAAAGATATCCAAGAACTGTATTTTTTACTGAAGACTCCAAGAATGAACTGGCACATGGTCCCTGGAAGAAGGGCATTTCATTATGCATTATAGAGTAATGGGCACTATAAAAAAACTATAAACAGATTTAAAATTTACTGAAATCCTTAGCAATGAGGTTAAGAACCATGGCAAAGCCTTTGATATTTTCTGCCCATCTTTTCCCTCTCACCCTCTTAGGTTTATAAAGCAACTAGTGCTTGAGCAGTCTTCATTTGCCTGGACTTTCACATCCATTCTAAGGCATCCCAGTTGGATTTTTAGGGTCATATTTCTATTTTCTTGGTGTGTCTTGCTTTTTTTGCCTGAAGAGTCAGTCAGGTATTGTCTGTAGTAGAAAAAATTCAGTATAGTTATTTGATCACTACAGGTTATCAGGCAGAAGTCCTCAAATCATGTACCACAATGTGGAATTTAAATGAGGTGTCATAGCACAGAACCTCACTTTAAGTATCATAAACTCGAACATTTCTGATTCAAAACATGTTTCAGAGCTTTCTCTGAGTTCATATAACTTCACAAACATAATTATGCCAAAGATATCATTAGTGCCAAAGACCTGAGAGTAGAAATAATTTCTAAGAATAAAAAAATCATTTAGTAACCTCAGGATAAATTTTAAAATATGTTTATGAAAAAATATGTTTTATTATGTTTTCAATAAAATTTAAAGGTATATATTAT